CAGAGGCTACAGTTCAGGATTGGCGCCCAGTCAATCCTCTCCGGCCAGGATACGAACCCAGGCCAAAACGCTGGCGAAGCGCGGCGTCTTACCACTGCGCCACGGGGAAAGTTTTTTGGGGTACTGCCATATGAACAGAAGCATTAGGTGAAAGGAAACGTGCCTCAAAATTGCATGTTTAGAGATGTGATGAAATAACTGCCACAAGTGTCATCGGGCGTTGGTTAATAACTTGTTCAGACAGGTTCCGTGACCAACAAACAGCTTGACAATCGCTGGTGCGGTGGTCACAGTAAATTGTAAAGTGAGCTTTGGAGATCTAATTTTTCAAATTCTTTTTCAAGCGAAGAACTAAATTTTCTGCTAAATTGCTTAGCAGAAAAGTGTCTTATCATCGCTATATTTGTATATATTTCTTTTACCATTATGGTGGTCTACACGCAACATGCATTATTATAAAAATATCCCAAAGTGGTCATGGATTAAATAGTTTCCTTGCCCTAGTTACTTGTCAAGCTAAATAAATTCGGTTCACTTTCTCTAATCCATTATGTGTGTACCTTATTATGAACCTCTGTAACCCATTTCATGCATAACCTACTATATGCCTCTGTAACCAATTTTGTGCCTAACTCTCCACCACTAGCAGAAGCCCATTTAAGCTTTCTTGTGGGAAACGTTGCATGCCGTGTTGATGACATTATTAAGAGAGCTTGCATGCTTATGGGTCTCATGCATTGTTACAAGCTTCGCATTCACACAGTGTAAACAGTCACTAACTCTGACGCCAGCCAGTTTATCGAGCTCTGAGGTGTAGTCAGTAGCCCTAATCACTATAGTTCCCTCACACACAAGATTTGGCGGGACCAAGAGCCGAAGCTCAACCCCCGCAAGCGCAACTAGGCGAGTACACGTGGTCTCCCTCACTGGTCCACAAGGTTGGCCATAGTCTAGGTGATCACAGTCCTCGTAGGGGCCCAGGGGTACAACCCCCCAACCAGTGAAAGACGACTCTGGACTAGTACTCTTGAATTCACCCGGTTAGTCTTAGTGAGCCCAACCGCTACAGTCAATTCGTTGCTATAAGATCTGCCTACTTCGTACATCAGGGTCCTTTGCACTTTCGCGAGATCACACTAGCCCTCAGGGCCGCCTTACAGCGCCCTCAGACACCCACGTGGCGCCCCACGGCGTCCTCTATCCCGACATTTCACCACAGAGCCCAATAGGCTCAGGAATCTGTACACCAGTTGATTGACAGTTGAGAGGCGGGACCAAAGAGCCAGAGCTCAACCCCCGCAAGCACAACTAGGCGAGTACTGAACTGCTGCTACGAAATCGATAACCGATTTGCTTGCGCCTCCGAGTCGTTAGAAGGAAGGGAGTCGAGCTACTATACTCCGTCCAAATAATTCAAAACGGCTCCAAAGTGCCACAACACACTGCAACACTTTGACAACAGAAAAATCTAAACCTATTAACAAAAACACGTCTTAAAAATAAAATATAAGAAAGAATATTACACCGGGCCAGCTGCAGGTCACGTGATACAACACTCCCTCGCTACAGTCATGTACACACAGCCTCTTTCTCAATAATACTCTCAATAATTACCAACTTATTCCTTTAAGTTCCTTTAATTGCCCTAAACGCTGCGAGTATCAGTGATTCAGGCAGTGTATGTACTGAACTATCTAGAAATCCAACATTATGTTTGAACTTTTTCAATGCATGTGCCTTTACCTGAACAAACATCTTGTCTAAGCCTCTCCAATTTCAGCCAAAAGTACTCTTATTTGGAATTTATAGCACACTAGATGATAATATCCAAACTCGCGAAAACGAAAATAATTATTAAAATAGTCAAAATTAAAATTCGTCAAATTAAAAGCTCCCAAATAGCGAATTTACAGGACCGCTAAAACTCGTCACTAAGGCGACAACCAACAAAATTAACTCAAAGAACTCTCTAAAACTTCACTTAGACCAGCGCCATCAGGTAATCACATAGGGAGCGCGGGTCTAGTATAATTAATATCTAAACCGCTGCCACCATTTGTAACGGAGTGGGGGGAGCTAAAGTAGAGGGGTCGGCGAAAGAATAGTAATTATAATAAAAAAGGTGAAAGAACAATATTTATAATAAAAAAAGGAAGGAGCTAGGGAAAGGGGAATGAATAAAAAAACGGGGAAAGCAGAGGGGAGACTAAAAGGGAGAAAATAGAAAACGGGGTTGAAGTAGAGGAGAGAGGGGAGATGAGAGAAGGAAGAAGAAGTAGAAGGATAAATATATAGAGATACTTATTACTAATGCTCCGACATATTAAATGTCATCTTATACACATATTAAAGTGCGACAGGAAGACGCGGCTTAACCAGACTGGCGGAGGGATACACACGTTCTTCAGTGGAAGTTAGAAAAGTGTTTCTCATAACTGATGTTAGGCTTTATGTCTAACAAACTCTGGGCTTATGAAGGAGACAGTTGCTTACTGATCAAACAGCAAATATACTGCATCCTAAGCCATAATCTAGAACTCAATTCTCAGTAATGTATACACCGAGATGGAGGACACATACACCTTTAAGGTAGGATGCTTTAGGTAAAATAGGACCTTAAAGGTAGGTAGGGTAGGGTGAGGGGAAGGCGTGAGGGGTATGGGATAAGATGTACTTAGGCCAGGTGGGAGAGGTTGGTGATAGGATAGGAGGTGGGAGAGGTTGGTGATAGGATAGGAGGTGGGATAGGGTTCAGGGATTGGGGATAAGACAGGTGGGCAGAATGCAACTCCACAACAGTTTCCTAACTCTTGGGTACCTATTTACTGCTAGATTAATAGCTCTAGTGATCAGGTGAAAGGAAACGTGTCCAATCATTTCTGTCTCACACGGGAAATCGAACCAGGGCTCCTCAATTTTGAGTGGAGAACGTAGCCATTGTACAAAGAGATTTTTTTTAAATCTGCCATTAATCACACGTGTTCAGAGCTTGGTTATGGAATATTACAGTCATATTTAACATGGGATTAATATGCCGGGAAATTGAATGTAAGGATGTGGTTTCTACAGCAGGTCTTAGCCAGCAAAGCACAATCGACTTGAGAATGGTCCAGGACGGACCGGAACGTCGTCATCCCTTCACTTTCTAGTGTGTGGTCTGGTCAACAAGCAAAGCTTCGCCTCCTCCTTGCTTGAATATGGACAAAATTAATCATCATACCGATACTTTCGTCATACATTCACTACAACATCATACTGTGAAAGAACTCACTTCATTTGGTCAGTAATCCTTCCCAGAATCGATTCGCCTTCTATATAATGTTTCTGCTAGTTCATTATTGTATCCGTCCAGTCGTCAACCCATGCTGGTCCAAACTGTAGCCGTGAGTCATCAAGACGGGCGGTTTAGAGAGGTGAGCTTTGAGCACAGGAAGTGAGACAAGCTCGAACACAACAATATGTTTCATTCATAAACGGTCAGAGGAGGGCGGCAACCCGTCCTTGTCAACAAAGGCGAAATGCTCGTTATATAACCGCAAAGCACCTGTTTATAAATGAAAAACGATTTCCACAAGACTCAACTAATGACGTGTGTACCGTTCTCGAGCAGTGCTTCGCTGGCGTCCTCTGCTCGAACCACAAGTCTGTAAATGCTTCACCTACGTACTACAAACACAAATAATCGCAAACAGAATCTAAATACCTAACCTAACTATACATTGAATTTTACTGTTTAATAATATTAATTTATATATGAGAACAACATATTTTTTATTAAACAGTATGTTAAAATTGATGAATGCGTCTCAGAGGACGGCCGTTGCTTTAACGAGCCTGGCCTGAGGACAGGTTGGGAAGGTTGATTATTTAGCAAGTATTTTGCCATTGTTTATGATGATGGGCCATTTTGTAGTGCAAGGAAAATATCCCTATTACGAAAACTCCCTCATTCACAATTAGACTAATGAATCCTTAGAAAAGGATAATATAACTTTCTTTTAAGTTTTATAGCGAAGCTAAATAATTGTTAAAGTTATGGCAGAATGGTCGTTATATTTTCATTGGCTTCTTTTTGGTGTTTAATATAGATTGATCAACCGCTGGAGTGTTGTTATGGCAGGGAGCCACAATAGGCTACATACCTATTGGTATAATTATTATTATACCAATATACTTATATTGGCGAATATACTTCACTTCTGCGTATGTGTTTTCTTCTTGATCTGATGTTATTAAGGCCATCACTAGCTTACTTTGTCTTGAACATAGTCCGACTAAAGTAAACTCAGTGGCCGTATTAGTGACTTTAGGTATTGTATGTACTACCTCAATTTTTAAATCCAACATTATGTTTGTAACTCATCCTCAATGTATGTACCGTTACCTGAATAAAAAATCTAATCTAATCTAATCAGTGTGTATAGACCGAGAATAGCTTGGTGCCTATTAACCACTGGAGTGTTATTATTAGTCGTATATTTATTATTATCAGTAAGGAAGGAGTTACTTACTGATTAACCAAAGAGAACAGAATAAGTAACGCAGGTACACTGTACAATACTATATTTTATTACTGGATACTTATTCTTATGTTTTAAGAATTTTCAGTTTTCTAAAGTATACTATAATTATTTTAATTTGACTGGAACGTTATACTATTTAATATCAACTCTTGAAATATTATAAAATTTATATATTGCTAAAATAATATTATTATTGCTAAAATTATATTATTACTAACAATTAAATAATATTTCAAATTTAACTTTTATGTATCTTAATAATTTTGCAGTTCAAGATTTCGTTTTATTTTCAATTTGTGTGGGTAATTGCATTTTTAAATAAAAGATCTGGGCTAGAGATGCATATATAATCCAGCAGATATTCAATGCTTATTCTATATATTGCTGTCGATGGAAATATGTTCTCGGTTAGTGATCTCTGTGTCGATGGGTGCTCGACACACTGAGCCAGGTGAGGTAGGTGTCAGAATTCATGAATTATAAATCAATATTATTTTATTTGGCATAAGTACAATAATATATATATGTATGTATATATATATATATTCGTCAATGAATCGCTTGTACTTGAGCTTATAACTTAATTATGTATACTAAATACAACATTTACATACAAATATAGAGGTAATGCCCGACCTTCAGGCTCCAGCCTTTGTCAGCTAAATAAAGTACTTCACACTACTCTACACTCCTCCTCCTGTTTATACATATCACAATAGTGTGTCGACCTGACCTGTCTTCTCACCTGGAGTTGGCGAGGCCAGCGCCGACTTGACCAGCGTATCACAAGGATGTCATTATCCAGTGCATGGCATCATAAATACAGAGAAATGAGCAACTGGAACGGGTCAGCCCCGCCCAGACCAGTATGTACAGCAGGCGACGGAGGGGTTCCCTGGCCTCACCAGGACACACTCACAGGTGCTCGAATTAGCTTGAAATATGTTTTTTCCTCTTCATTAGTCTATTGGTAACCAGAGATGTGCTTCATGTTCACTACCGTTCTGGGGGTCGCCGACAAAGTTGTGCCTCTCTGTCTCGTTGCAGAGCTTCGTGAGGTGCCGCTGCGGGAGAGGTTGGGCGTGTGCGAACTCACCCCACTGCATAGGGTGGGTCCCTCCTTGCACAGCATGGCGGGTCCCTCCCCGATCCCTAGCATGTTGGATACCACACAGCATAGTAGGTCCCTCCTCGCGCAGCATGGCGGGCCCCTCCTCGATTTCTAGCATGTTGGGTACCACATGGTAGGTCCCTCCTCACACAGCATGGTGGGTCTCTCTCAGCATGGTGGGTCCCAGCCAGCGTGGCGGGTCCCTCCCAGCATGGTGAGCCCGTCCCAGCACAGTATGGCTCACAGCGCGGGGTGCTGCTAGAGATGAGGAACCTAGGAAAATCTAGGGACTCAACGGTTCCATCTAATGACCCTCCTCGGCCTCATACGACGCCTTCCACATGTCCGCAAGACACACTGAGGAGTGGAACCGGTAGAAGAGAGCGAGTGGCAGTGTCAAGTGCGAGAGTAACGTCCACAGCTCCTGTAAGTACACCAGAAACAAATGAATATCGGCCACACTGTATCGCAACAATAGGAAGTGCACCAGGTTAATATATGTTTTTTGAATGCCCATCTTTCCTTTCACAAATGGATTTTTAATATATAATATATAATATACTGCATGTCACTAATTAAAACATTGTAAGGTACATTATTTACATAATGTACTGCAATTTTGTGTAAACAAATTCAATTATAAATATCCAAACATTTATGAATAAAGATTTTGGATTTACATATCAGAATTTATGTATACCGCAGCCTGGCTCACTTCCTACAATACCAATTTATTATACAATACGAAACTTTTCAACATAATCTTGTTTAAAATTGTAAAAAATTATGATCACAAATTATGTCTCAAATTTGTATGTCAAGTTCTGTGGTGGAGGTAAAGAGGCAGGACTTACCTTGCCGTAGAACTTATACAGAGCGGAGTTGCCTTCTTCGCTCTTAATCTCGAAGGTCTGCAGTAGCCACATGGCCACGTTGGCCACCACCAGGTAGGTGAGGAACTCCCGGCCCGGCTTCTTGTTCTGAAGCCTCTGCGAGTTGGAGCACCGCCTTAGACCATCGCAGATGAGCGCCGTCTGTAGTATCACCTGACACACTTGTATGATGGAGACGGTAGCTAAGAGCACCTCGCCATTCTTGATAGCCGGCACCATGCTCAAGAAGGCGTAGAGGAAGATGCAAGGCAGAGACACGTACAACAGGATGTCGTCGACGCTGCTCAGTTTGTCTTTTATGATGTCCAGGATTCGTATCGAATTGTACGCGATGAAAGCTGTGATTAACATACAGGAGAGCAAGACGACTTCGCTGATGCCGTTGACATAAGATCCCAGCTGCTTGGTGTCCTCAGACGTCGAAAAGATGAAGAAGAGGATGATAGATATAATTGTAGCGACAGTCATGAGCAGACCAGCGAACAGTCCACGGTTAGAAGCGTGGCAGTCGACATATATGATGAGGTTGGATGTTAGAGATTTGCTGTTGTCTTCTTCGTAAGTGACCTCAACGGAAGGGATGTGCGTGTGTCGCTCGAACTTGCCGATGTTCTCCCAGAGGAGGATCCACAAGCCGACCATCAGGATGCTGAACTCTATGCTGAACGGGTAAAGGTACGGGGTGGTGGTGTTGATCATGGAGGATAGATGAGTGTCCTTCTCACAACCGTAGTTGATGGACCAAGTGGTAGCCGAGGCCGCTGAGATCTTCCGGCCAGTGAAGTTGCTAAGATCATCTTCATCCATTTCATCGGAGTCGTCCTCATCACCAGGCGTTACTAACTTTGCGGCGGCCGAAGCTTCAGCGTTGGATTTCTCCGAAAGCTTTTTCAAGAAGATCGCTTGGAGAGTTTCTTGCAAGATGGTATAGATCCAGAAGCACAAGGAGGAGGCGATGCAGTGCATGATGCCAAATCTCGACAAAACTAGGCGACGGTTGATTATCAGCTGCAGAAGGAAAAAACAATTAGATGACGAAAACTAATATTTACGCCGCTCACTCTTAATACAAAACAATGTCATTGTCATATATTGTTCAGTTATGGGACATGTTGCTATACTTACGTTGGAGTACTTGAAGATGAAGAAGAGCTGATAAAAGGCGTACACAGGCTGGAGGACGGACATGACTACGTCAGTGGTGCAGGTGCAGTTGTCAAAGAGAGGATCGTCCTCAGCCAGGTATAAGATCTTCTGACCAAGGTTCAGACCGGTGTGAATCAGGTAACCCAGGCAGAAAACTGACAAAGAAAATATAATTATAATAATAACACAAAAACGCTCAAGTTATTTCTTGTTTCATTTTTCTTTTGTGATTAAATATTTGTATATTAATCATCACGAGTTAATTTATTCGTGATTTACATACATTATATAAAGTTCACAATAGTTTTACATGAAAATTTATCTCATGGAATATCTTTTATGACCAATAATGGTAAAGATTTATGGAGATTCTGTAGTACCTGTAGCGCCAATCTTCAGGTAGAGGGAGCCACCGTGCCTGCCGGAGGTGAAGCCATAGTGCTGGGGGATGGTCCTGGGGGCCTCCGGCACGTTGATCCTCAGCTGGTACTGACCGTCACCCGTTGGCTCCAACTGCACCTGTTCGTCCTTGTTGACTTGTTTCGTCTTGGCCTCATCAAGCGCTCTAGAGATGAGGTTGACGTAACGTCGGACATCTACATGGACGTAGAATAACCACACCAATTGTGCTACAATTAAATAAACGTTGAAACCCTCTGCTATTGCTGAATCGTGGCCGCTGAAGGTGTCGGCTAAGTATATGACGATTCCTAGCGAGACCAAAAATACCGCATACATTATGCTCATATTTTTACTTAAGGTAAGCTGGAACCTAGATTTTTTCTCTCCTTCTTCAGTGGGTTGTGGGGCGTCCGGGTCAAGCATGTCGGGATGGTTGGAGACGTGTTCGTTGTGGCCAGCAACTAGTGTTTGTTGACTGTCCACGATCTTCATCCCTCCGCCGGAGAGAGACCCTTGAGACTCCATATGATGCCCGCCAGAGAAGCCAACGTGTTGCCCGTAGCCGACCTCGCTGTACATGGACTGCGTGTCGTGTAGACTGGGATACATGTTTGGCATTGGCTGGTTGGCATTTAATGACACCATGGAAACTGACCGCCCTCTTGTAGAATGGGGCATTGAATGCACCGGAGGTGGAGCACCCTGGAGGTTGAGCTGGAGGACCATGCTGTGTCTACGAGAATGGCCCATGGGCATACCCGAAATAGAAGGAGGTGGAGAATTCATGCTGGGTTCCGTTGGGATGCGATTGAAGGGTGGAGGAGAGCCCACGGGGAGCACCACTGGCGCGGGTTCTGTATTAACGTAACCTTGGTTGCTCATCCCTCTACCACCGCCAGGCTTACGCTGCCTCTGAGGAGACTGCAGTCCGTCCAAACTCTGAGGAACAAACAAAATTAAATGAAATATTACGGCTAATCATCTAAGATTATGACAATAGAACTCGGGTATCTCTCAAGCACAAAGCCGGTGACGATGCCAGTAGTGCTTACCTCGCAGTCGGAGTCGGACTGGTAGAAAGTCACCTCCTGGGGATCGATCGGCTGGCGTTGGTTTGCGAGGTCGTTGGCAGAGCCCGAAGGTAACTCGCTAGGGGCGGAACCCTCCCGATGGATGGTTCCAGACACGGGAGCAGCCCACGAAGAATACTCGGACGGTACTCCAGAGTCCGAGCCGCTGTGGAAGGTCCCCGACACTGTACACAAAAATAATTAATTTAGTCAAAATGTCGTAAAATACAAGTAGCCATATTGGCTGTGTGCTCAGTATATTTATATACACCGATAAATCATACGTCAGAGTCTTTGATCAAGAACAAAGATGTCATACTTACAGTGTTTATGTCCAGGGAAATTCAGGATATACTCGGAGTTGGCGGAAGTGTCCGCGTGGTCGGGATTCGCACCGCCGTGGCCTTGGATGTTGTGGGCGTGGGTGTGGGCGTGGGCGTAGTGAGTGTGTGGAGAAACTCCAAAGTGCGACTGCAACTCTGGCGGTGCGCTCACCTTCCTGCGGCGATGAGGATGCTTGGCGGGCAGGCCGTGGTTCGCCCGACGACGGTGTTGTACTGGTGACACTAGCGTGCTGCTTCCACTGGCCTCGCTCTCACTGCCGACCAAGTACAAGACATTAAGTATGACTCAAACTACGAGTGACATACAAAAGCTACTACAGTATGAACAATATAAAATCACAGTAACACAGAGACCACTACAGTATGTGTAGTAACACAGTCTATTACAGTACTCATAGCATGCCTTAATGAGATTTTATATGACAACTGTATTGAGGTATTTCTGCAATATAAAAAGCTACCTCACAATTGTAGTTTTTTTGATGCCACAAGTTATATATACGAAGTTTAACATGCATAAATTGGAAATTTAAAAAAAATAATGGAAGCATAGGTACAGAGGAAAACTGGCGTTGTGCAACTGTTTTGAGTTTCATAAGTTTATTAAGGAGCCTACACGATGGGTAAACATCGTGTGGGCGGAAGTGGAACATGTTAGGCACATGGGCTGAGGCAGAGCAGGAGGGGAGGACCCAGCAAGTGATCCTTGGTACCGAGGCGACCAATAACTAGCTCGAGCCTCAGGATAACATATTTCATTTATCCTCACGTCCAGCCGAATATAACATATTCATAAACTATAACTACAGTTTTAAAGACAAGTCAAAACTCATCAATATAATCCACTGATATTATGTGAAATGTTGCATACTCCACAATCTCAGAAAGACAATAATTTATTAAATAATGTACCCTATACGTACAGACAAATGACAGTACTGTTCTTCAATGACAACAGCTGTCAACTTGACCATTAAAATACATCCATGAAACCTAAAAATAAAACTTATCATTATAACATATGGTATGTTAACCAGAACGAACTGGAATTGCATCCACTGATCCCAAATACGACTTTGTCAAGTAGCCTAGTTGCCTTAAGTATCAGTAACATTTTCTACGAGGTTTGTTTTGTAGTGACTACTGACCGCCACAGTAAACATATCCTCTTAATGTAGATGACCTGCGTAACATTCCAGGGTTTATGTTGACTAAGATATATATATATATATATATATATATATATATATACGCATAGTATATATATATATATATATATATATATATATATATATATATATATATATATATATATATATATATATATATATATATATATCGATTCACGCATTGACTTCTGAGGTCCAAAAATTCAACCAACGCACACATTGCGTTATAACAAAATTATACGCAAGACCATCACCGGGATTAATCAAATACGATGTAATAAAGGAATTTTCTCAAATACACACACACATATATATATATATATGATGGGTTTGTGTATAATTATACCTAGGGAAGGTTAGGTGATCCCTTGTGGTAGTAGAGATGTGTTTACTGTTCAGGTTGGAAGTGAGTGAAGACAGTCACGGCTTCCAACAGTCAAGTTGAGGAAAATACAGATATTAACTGACTCTAGTATGATATATAATTTTTACATACATACAATACAGGAGGGTTGTATATTCACACAGTACATGAAGGTTGTACAAAGGTTGTACATAGAGAGTACGAAGGTTATTTTTACGTGTGGTTCACAATGGTTTACATACGCGGTTTATGAAGGTTGTAAATATACATGGTCTACAACAGTTGTATATATACGCGGTATAGGATGGTTGCACACAAATACGATTACACGGAAGTAGTACATACGCATAGTACACGAAGGTTGTACATACAATTCGTACACAATTATACATACAGTACACGCCTGCTGTACACACATACGGTACACGAATATTGTACATATACACAATACACAAGTTATACATACACACAGTAATGGAGATCGGTGGCAAGTTAAACTTGAAGTCTGTATCATTCCCATTCCCAAGCTATACTGCTATATACTATATTCAACCTATATACTGACTTACATGGTATTACAGTAAGTCAGTATTTGTATAGTTAGCAACGTTTTCCTCAAATAAATTATTATTATTATTGAGAAAATTAACGAAAGTCAGGGTGGTTCAGTAGTTAATGTAGTTAACGTAGTTCAGTAGTTTCAGGAGGCCTGGTCGACGACCGGGCCGCGGGGACGCTAAGCCCCGGAAGCACCTCAAGGTAACCTCAAGGTAAGGTAACGTTAGTAGCTGTGATTCTTTTGGTCGCTGGTTCCAGTCAGGTCATAGATCCAGTTGATTTTATCATTGATATGTATCACGTTAGTGTGATTTCTCTGTGTATTATTATTATTATTATTATTATGCAAATGAGTCCATATTTGTGTTTGTTATGAACCCGATGATCTTTTGTTTCAATGATGGCTGAGATTTAATGGAATTTAGTATTACAGTAAAGCTTCGCTTAAAGGATGGAATTCGGCAGACGTCCATTCCCTACTTAAAATACCAATTGAAGCAGTTCAGTTAGACCTAAATTTTGTATATCCTATTTGCACAGATTCACACTTTCGTTAGGCGTTAGCCTGAGACAGTTTGTTTAATTTATCATCATTATAATGCTATTAAAAAAATTCAACTTGTTTTGTTAAGTGTGATTTATCAACTAACACCCATAGTGCAACATTTGGAGAGGCAGGGCCCAGGGACTTAAGCTCGATCCTGCGAACGCCGTTAGGTGGCGCAGTGGAATGACACTCGCCCCACGCGCTTCGTGATCGATTTGGCCTGGGTTCGTATCCTAGCCGAGGAGGATTGACTAGGCGCCAATCCTTAACTGTAGCCTCTGTTCACCCAGCAGTGAATGGGTACCTGATTGTTAAACGATTTGGCGAGTCGTATTCCAGGGAAAATTAGGATTGAGGACCTTTCCCGAAACACTATGCGTGCTAGTGGCTTTATAAGAATGTAACAACTCTTGTATATATAAAAAATAAAAAATATAAAATAAAAATAAGATAAGCATCGGCTGCTATAAATTCAAGGCTGAAGTCTAAACTGGAGTCTGAACAACAGTAGAGTCTCTTGGTAACATAAGAAATTCACGCCCCGAAAAGGTTACTCATTTGACAACAAGATAATTAGATAATCGCACCTTCGACTTGTTTTTATCAAGGCGGAAACCGTAAGCCTCGGCAGCGCTACATTATATATGTATTTTCTTCATTCTAGGGCTCTTGTAGAGCGCTGTCGACACATATTTATACTAAGTTCTTTTTTGTTTAATCAGGCCTATGTTTTTGTAGTAGTTGACATTTCCAATAGTTGATACTTTATAATTCAGTTAGTGTTGTAATAACCAGTCGCTCTAAATGTCAAGGTCGTGCTCTACACAGAGCCAATAACAAGCTCTAGCTTGCCTCACAAGGAGTGCAGCAGCAGCAGCAGCAGCAGCAGCAATAATAATAATAATAATCCTGTTTAAGTGTTGGATCTAAGTCTATTAGTCTCTGAATGGTTATTAACGCCACCGCAAGAGCTTATTGACCGACAAGCAAAAATATTGGCAGTCATTTTAAGTGAGTTTTTGCTAAAATTATTTTTTTCATATAGAAAATTATATAGGAATTATAAACAGAAATTCTAATATGTGAGGCAATGGGGTGACTTGAACTGGCGTGCAAGTCGATTCAATATATATATATATGTCGTACCTAGTAGCCAGAACGCACTTCTCAGCCTACTATGCAAGGCCCAATTTGCCTAATAAGCCAAGTTTTCATGAATTAATTGTTTTTCGACTACCTAACCTACCTAACCTACCTAACCTAACCTAACCTAACTTTTTCGGCTACCTAACCTAACCTAACCTGTAAAGATAGGTTAGGTTAGGTTAGGTAGGGTTGGTTAGGTTCGGTCATATATCTACGTTAATTTTAACTCCAATAAAAAACAATTGACCTCATACATAATGAAATGGGTAGCTTTATCATTTCATAAGAAAAAAATTAGAGAAAATATGTTAATTCAGGAAAACTTGGCTTATTAGGCAAATCGGGCCTTGCATAGTAGGCTGAGAAGTGCGTTCTGGCTACTAGGTACGACATATATATATATATATATATATATATATATATATATATATATATATATATATATATATATATATATATATATATATATATATATAACGAAGGCAGTTTATAGATTGACTTGGATTACTACAAAACCAGAAACAATTATGTAAATGAAAAATACCAATATAAATAAAGATCTATTGTCAATATACTACAGTATGTGCATGAAATTACTTTTCAAGATCCAATAGGCTCTTTTCCATTGTGTACACATACAGGAAATGGGCCTATTGGACCTTGGCTTTGCGCCCTGGAGAGGCCACACCAGACCGACAACCAGAGCGCAGCTCCATAGTCTCTTGAGACTGATGTACTACTATTACACATAAACAAAGTTGAAACGTCCATAAGGCGAAGACGCAGTATACTAACATTTCTAAGATAGGCGTTTAGAAGCCTATCTTAATCTTGGATGCAGTCTCTCCCTGAAGAGTACCCTACTTCGTAGTTTACATATAATTGAGAGTTTTCACTAGTATTTAACCTTGTTCTGGTCAAAAGTATACTAGATAGTAGGTCAGTGGGTTCTTGTGGTGGCCTTAATTATACCCTCGGTGGTTGATCATCCTAACGTCAAACTTATATAGGGTTACGTGGAAGGCAAGTTGTGTTGGCTGGTGAATTTGAAGATTTGTTGGACTTATAAGTATAAGTAATCTACAGTGAGCTGTATATGTACGCAAGAGAAAACACCAATATCCATCTACAGGATCCTAGCCTAATCTTACACTGTTAATTCAACCCTAACAAATTCACCCGTCAAAAATTGGGTTGGTACTTAAGTTCCACATTGAGTACTTAAGTGCCACATTTAGTACTTGAGTGCCACGTTGAGTACTTAAGTTCCACATTGAGTACCTAAGTGCCACGTTGAGTACTTAAGTGCCACGTTGAGTACTTAAGTGCCACGTTGAATAACAGCTCCATAACATTCTCTCACAGAATCATCCGTGAAATTAACCGCTCCTAAAACCTGAACTTGTCGAGTAGTAGCGCCACCCTACAGTGGCGGTTTAAATTCACTGTAGCGAGACGTCGTGACTACAAACAAAAAAGATTGTCAAGACAGGTAATGCAAGAGAGCAGAGAGACGCGGGTAGCAAGGTCAGGCTTCATACTGCTTTTTACCACCTCTGGACAGCCATCATACCACCCCAAAAGGTCAGAGGTCCCTAGTCAGCGGAGACGAACTGGCTTTGTCATCCACCAGCTGTGTCTATTCCCCCAAGAAGAAAAATACTTTAACTTTTGAGGACCATTTTTTGTTATTAGTAAAAATTACATTCTTCACAATGACTGTCATTAACATAAGGGGAACAAGACGCAATCACAACTGATTCTTAGGTAACGAATTTATTGTCATGTTTTTGGCTTATTAAAATAAAAAAAAGTTTATCTCTGGTGTTTTCATAATTAAATGAACATCAAAAACTGTGCTACTCACTGGCAGCGCTGTACACACACAGTGTGTGTGTGCGTGTGTGCGACACAGGTGGAAATTGAGTGCCCAAATGAGCCATAGAAACATTAGAAAGATTTTTTTCTATGTCAGAGTAGGAAGTGCATTAGGCAGTGATGTGGTGGAGGCTGACTCCATACACAGTTTCAAATGTAAATATGATAGTGCCCAGTAGGCTCACGAACCTGTACACCAGTTAATCGACAGTAGAAAGGCGGGACCAAAGAGCCAGAACTCAATCCCCGTTAGCGCAACTAGGTAAGTACAACTAGGTAAGTATACCACATCCAGTTTCCAGAACACGCAAAGTACTGGAATCCCTGTAGGTATAAATTCGCTACAAAATCTACCAGGCGGGACCCGGGAGCTAGATTTCGCTCCCGTAGACACAAATAACCAAACAAGTTATACTTCAATGCATCTAATTCAAATTCATATATTTTGTTGTGTATGTAAGATATACAGGAAGAACACCTTCTGGCGGCCGGGATCTTGTTCGGCAAGTTTGCTCCAGTGGACCCATAGTCCAGCCCAATTTTGACCTTTAAAATTTGTTTTGTTGAGATACTGTTCATTCCAAAGTGAATCGTACACACCACGTAAGAATTTTTGTGTCCTGAGCTGAGACTGAGCGAAACGTTACAAAACAAGAAGAGCTGACGAAAACTTCAGCCTGGCGCCATTTGGGAACTTGCTCTACCTTGTATTTCGAAACTGTGTATATACCTGCTCCTCCCCACGTATTGCTAACGGTGGAGCATCAAACAAGGCCAAACAATAATTGGTACACCAATGAAATAGATATAAAGCATATCGCGAGCCCGGACTCCGCCAGCTGTCATCGTGGCCACCACACCCACCAGCAAAAACTGGAACGTCGACCATTCAGCTGGTGAGGGGGTGCCGCCGCCCCACCACTCATATATTTATCATCAACAACCTGATGTATACCTCTTTACCTGAACGTGTTATACTTCTGGTTTGTTATACTGAGCCTCTTACTCGCAGCTACGTTTGCTACGTTCTTCTAATTCGATTTAACTAAACAGACAAATAACAAATAACGCTGGCGATGTGACAACACGTGTCCACAAGAACCTGCTCCTGCCCGGGAAGTTCCCCGAGGTAGTTTTTTTCCCCGATGTATAGGTCCTTGTGAAAAACTAATAATTGCTTAAAACTTCACTAAAACATGATCAAAGCTAGCCACCTAGATCAACAGGTAGATTCGCCTGTTAGGTAAACACGGAAACCACCGCAGGGAACCAGTGGGAGACGTCAACATTGCAGGATATGTAAGAATGCTCTGGTATAAACAAAAGACTTTGAGTGTGTATATACGTCACTAAGGAGCGCGTTCCAGACATATTTTCCGTAGCGTTGGGATTACTAGACCAGCCAGAAGCGGAAGGCGCCCTACGCGGCCCGGGCGTAGTACAGTGGTCACCTCTGTTGTTGAAAATAGAGTAAACAAGGATTACCGGAGCAGGAAACTCATCCACGGCGGTGGAGGCTGGGCAGTTGGATGGTGATGAAGGTTAGGTACTTGTTCCTGCTACCACACCTATCGTACCGCCCTCACTGCTATACCACACCTGTCACCCCGCCCTCACTGCTATACCACACCTGTCACCCCGCCCTCACTGCTATACCACACCTGTCGCACCGCCCTCATTGCTATACCACGCCTGTCGCACCGCCCACACTGCTATACCACACCTGTCACCCCGCCCTCACTGCTATACCACACCTGTCGCGCCGCCCACACTGCTATACCACACCTGTCGCACCGCCCACACTGCTATACCACACCTGTCGCGCCGCCCACACTGCTATACCACACCTATCGCACCGCCCTCACTGCTATACCACACCTGTCCCACCGCCCTCACTGCTATACCACACCTGTCGCGCCGCCCACACTGCTATACCACACCTATCGCACCGCCCTCACTGCTATACCACACCTATCGCACCGCCCTCACTGCTATACCACACCTGTCCCACCGCCCTCACTGCTATACCACACCTGTCGCGCCGCTCACCCTGCTATACCATACCTGTCGCAACGCCCTCACTGCTATACCACACCTGTCGCGCCGCTCACCCTGCTATACCATACCTGTCGCAACGCCCTCACTGCTATACCACACCTGTCGCGCCGCTCACCCTGCTATACCATACCTGTCGCAACGCCCTCACTGCTATACCACACCTGTCGCACCGCGCTCACAGGTGTACCACACACAGTGAACAGGACTTAGAGCACAAACGGGAGACGTGTAAACATGACGTGAGAGGTTCAGCGGACATTAACGACCTCAGTGGTATACATCAGAGCCGCCTGGCATGGGCCGTCTTGCCGTGTCCTCACCAGCATGCTCTTAAGTCTCTCTTCCCGACTACAGACACGAAAATTTTCCTTATATAGATAAAATAATTCACAGAAGTATTCGAGTAGATTTCAGTTTCCAGAGAGAGAGAGAGGAAGAGAGAGAGAGAGGAAGAGAGAGAGAGAGGGGCGGTTATTGCTAGCAAGGCGGGTGTTGCTAGGAGAGGTGGGTGTTGCTAGCTAGGAGAGGTGGGTGTTGCTAGCTAGGAGAGGTGGGTGTTGCTAGCTAGGAGAGGTGGGTGTTGCTAGCTAGGAGAGGCGAGTGTTGCTAGCTAGGAGAGGTGGGTGTTGCTAGCTAGGAGAGGTGGGTGTTGCTAGCTAGGAGAGGTGGGTGTTGCTAGCTAGGAGAGGTGGGTGTTGCTAGCTAGGAGAGGTGGGTGTTGCTAGCTAGGAGAGGCGGGTGTTGCTAGCTAGGAGAGGTGGGTGTTGCTAGCTAGGAGAGGTGGGTGTTGCTAGCTACGAGAGGTTGGTGTTGCTAGCTAGGAGAGGCAGGTGTTGCTGACAAGTAAGAGGATTTGTTGTTGTTGTTGTTGTTTTAGATTCAGCTACTCAGAACGAAATGTCTATGTAGCACGGGCTATGGTGAGCCCGTAAGTGAGAGGAGGATGTAGGTGTCTATAAAGTGGTGGAAACTGAGGCAGAAGGTACTTACAACTCACCTAATACTGCTGAGGACTAGATGCAGAGGAATCCTAATAGTCGTCATGTTATACATCCGAAAGATTAGGGCGTAACGATACGTGTGTTACCAGCGCTCAGACCACAAACACCTGAGGGCGTCACGAAGCATTCACGAGAACGTGTGACATTTTCCGCGCACTAACACCGACATCCACTTGATCAGGCACAGTCTCCTTAAAGGATTTCCTTTACCACACGTCACGAATGTAACTACAATTTTCTTTTGAGGCTAATACACAAACACTGATGCTAATTACCGCAGGAACGAGGACTAGTTCTTCAGGTACACGGTATAATCCAGGTAACGTCCAAGTCCGATGCCTTCTGTAGCGATATTCCCCTGTTGGCGTGCTCCGAATCTAGGCGCTGGAACTCCTCGTAGCTGCTTGCGCGCCCTCCGTGGCTTCCAGACCAAGTGAGGCTACAGGGATCCTGCGTCCAACGGCAGAGTCTTTCGTCCTTGGCGGGGGATGTGGGACTTGTGTAGGGCCAGGCGGGGCGCTGGGGGTACTTACGGCCCCAGACCCCGCCCCCCGTCATCCAGGGAACTCCCCGAGCTTCCAGCGCTACCTGGAATCCTGGAGAACAGATTCTTTCTTGCGCAATGTAAACATTTGGAATGGTTGAGATATGTCGAGGGGGTGTCTGTAAGACGAGCCTTTCTTCTCTCTCTTGTGTCCCCAGAAGAGAGGTAAACATGGGCCAAGAGAGACGTTTCAATAGGTCATAATTATTTTGTTAATGGTACTTGAGGTGGTTTTCTTGGTGCCAGCGAGCGCCCTCACCGTGAGCACGGGGGAGGGGAAGAGAACGGTCTAAAGGTCTAGTAATAATTTATTCTAAAGACCAATTCAACTGTCCACTATTTCAGGTGGTCAGTATGTGGCTTCTCTTTAATATCGAAGTTGAACAGTATGTCAAGTGGGGTGAGGCCTGGAGGTCGAGCCTCTCTTGCAAATATACATAGTAAATATGTAGCGATAACTGTATTATTATATATTTATTAAAAATAAGCTGTGGTAGCAATCCAGACGGATGTCCAGGATAAGCTGTGGTAACACTATAGGCGGATGTAAGCTGACTACTATGTACTGTCAGAAAATTCCACGGAACATTTCTCATCGCATTCTCAGAATTTCCGTATGTCTAAAATTCAAACAATTTTAATGATGGTAGTTTAATTGCCTCAGAGATGAAATAAACGAATGTAAATATATATTATTATTGCACATTTCGTAAAACACTACTAATATAACTAGCTAATACTTAATGGATTCTATACTTAAATGTCTGCTGGGAAGCCAAAAATGGTGTTTTGGGTTATCGAAGACAAGTAATTTAGGTTTAAACCATGACTTTTGGAGCATTTTTTAAGACATCAACAGTCCCTTACTTCATCAACCCTTCACAACGTCCCAGACCCACATCCCGCGATCCCACAGCGACGTTGATCCTGGCCGTGGTGCATCCTGAGGGCCCCAGTTATCATGCCGCCCCAACCTACCCCGACGCCGCCAGACGTTTCAGGAGCCGTTCTAGGAGTCCATCACGTTGTTCTCACGTGCTGGAAGCGTTCACCGACTCTCGCCTCCTGCTGGAAGCGTTCACCGACTCTCGCCTCCTACTGGAAGCGTTCATAGACTTCCGCCTCCTGCTAGAAGCGTTCACAGACTCTGGCCTCCTACTGGAAGCGTTCACAGACTCCCGCCTCCTACTGGAAGCGTTCATAGACTTCCGCCTCCTACTGGAAGCGTTCACAGACTCTGGCCTCCTACTGGAAGCGTTCATAGACTTCCGCCTCCTGCTAGAAGCGTTCACAGACTCTGGCCTCCTACTGGAAGCGTTCATAGACTTCCGCCTCCTGCTAGAAGCGTTCACAGACTCTGGCCTCCTACTGGAAGCGTTCACAGACTTCCGCCTCCTGCTGGAAGCGTTCACAGACTTCCGCCTCCTACTGGAAGCGTTCACAGACTCTGGCCTCCTGCTGGAAGCGTTCACCAACTCTCGCCTCCTGCTGGAAGCGTTCACAGACTCCCGCCTCCTACTGGAAGCGTTCACAGACTTCCGCCTCCTACTGGAAGCGTTCACAGACTTCCGCCTCCTGCTGGAAGCGTTCACAGACTTCCGCCTCCTGCTGGAAGCGTTCACCAACTCTCGCCTCCTGCTGGAAGCGTTCACAGACTTCCGCCTCCTGCTGGAAGCGTTCACCAACTCTCGCCTCCTGCTGGAAGCGTTCACAGACTTCCGCCTCCTGCTGGAAGCGTTCACCAACTCTCGCCTCCTGCTGGAAGCGTTCACAGACTCCCGCCTCCTACTGGAAGCGTTCACAGACTCCCGCCTCCTGCTGGAAGCGTTCACCAACTCTCGCCTCCTGCTGGAAGCGTTCACAGACTTCCGCCTCCTACTGGAAGCGTTCACAGACTCCCGCCTCCTGCTGGAAGCGTTCATCAACTCTCGCCTCCTACTGGAAGCGTTCACCAACTCTCGCCTCCTGCTGGAAGCGTTCACAGACTTCCGCCTCCTGCTGGAAGCGTTCACAGACTCTGGCCTCCTACTGGAAGCGTTCACCGACTCTCGCCTCCTACTGGAAGCGTTCACCGACTCTCGCCTCCTGCTGGAAGCGTTCACAGACTCTCGCCTCCTGCTGGAAGCGTTCACAGACTCTCGCCTCCTGCTGGAAGCGTTCACAGACTTCCGCCTCCTGCTGGAAGCGTTCACAGACTCTCGCCTCCTGCTGGAAGCGTTCACAGACTTCCGCCTCCTGCTGGAAGCGTTCACAGACTTTCGCCTCCTACTGGAAGCGTTCACCGACTCTCGCCTCCTGCTGGAAGCGTTCACAGACTCTCGCCTCCTGCTGGAAGCGTTCACAGACTTCCGCCTCCTGCTGGAAGCGTTCACAGACTTCCGCCTCCTGCTGGAAGCGTTCCCTAACTTTCCTGCTTCATCGTCCAAACATCCCCTTCCTTCTCTGTCTAATATTTTGGCAGAAGCTGAGAGAAGGAAATTATCAGGGGGAAAGCGCCAAGCCATTACGACTATATAGCACTTGGAAGGGGTCGGGATAAGGATTTGGGATGGGACGAGGGGGAAGGGGGGGAGAAATGGTGCCCAACCACCTGGACGGTCGGGGATTGAACGCCGACCTGCACGAAGCGAGACCGTCACTCTACCGTCCAGCTCAAGTGGTTGGGCAGCAGAAGCTAAGAAAGAAAGTGTCCTCCAAAGCCTTGTTTGATACAGGGAAGGAGATATGTTCCAAGAAGTGTGTAGACGAGACCCAACACCAGGATCTGCACAAGCTCACCTCAGGGAGCCGTGATGGCAGCGCGGGTCTTGCCACACTCCTCGTCTGCCTTGCTTCCTCTCACGACCCGCCGTACGCAGGGGTGGCTGCAGGGGTGGCTGCAGGGGTGGCTGTAGGTGTGGCTGCAGGTGTGGCTGCAGGGGGCTGTGCTGGTGGACGCGACGACAAGGAGTAGCAGGGGGGCGGGACGTGTGTGCGATTGTATTCAACGAAATTTATACCTCAATTCGAATGACATTTGTAAGCTGAGTAGTTATTTAAAAGGCGGGTGTTGCTAGCTAGGACGAGCTAGCTAGTGCCTTTCAGCGCGACCTTCTAGACCTCAGCAGCTCCGTGTACCTCTCAGCAGCTCCGTGTACCTCTCAGCAGCTCCGTGGACCTCTCAGCAGCTCCGTGGACCTCTCAGCAGCTCCGTGGACCTCTCAGCAGCTCAGTGTACCTCTCAGCAGCTCCGTGTGCCTCTCAGCAGCTCCGTGTGCCTCTCAGCAGCTCCGTGTACCTCTCAGCAGCTCCGTGGACCTCTCAGCAGCTCCGTGGACCTCTCAGCAGCTCCGTGGACCTCTCAGCAGCTCCGTGTGCCTCTCAGCAGCTCCGTGTGCCTCTCAGCAGCTCCGTGGACCTCTCAGCGCGATCTTCGCGACCTTAGACGAAGGACGAACTACCCACTGCTCGTCTCATCACCATGCCTGCTGCACCACCTGATTACAACATCGAAGTTCCCACTTCAAAACAGGTGCAGACTATCGAAGTTCTTATTTTTATAGAGGCTTTCAGAGTTTTGTCATCCAGGAAAGAGACGGACCCTTCCGTTCAAAGCAGTTTACCGCGTATAACCTGATCTTGAGGACGAAGATGGTCTTGGGCCATAGCAGTTGCGACAATTACCTTTTCCGGAGATCAGGATCGGGCAGTTAGCAGCCAGCTTGCTTAGGGGAACTCCCGGACTACACATGCTCCGCCCACTACCGCCTCGGGTCGTACACCAGCACTCTGCCCAGGACCGCCTCAGACCACACAACACATGCTCATCACTGGACCACTATACACTATATAACAAACAATTCAGGTCCTCCACTGCCCACAGGACCTCCACTGCCCACAGGACCTCCACTGCCCACAGGACCTCCACTGCCCACAGGACCTCCACTGCCCACAGGACCTCCATTGCCCACAGGACCTACACTGCCCACAGGACCTCCACTGCCCACAGGTCCTCCAGTGCCCACAGGACCTCCACTGCCCACAGGACCTCCACTGCCCACAGGACCTCCATTGCCCACAGGACCTACACTGCCCACAGGACCTACACTGCCCACAGGACCTCCACTGCCCATAGGTCCTCCACTGCCCACAGGACCTCCACTGCCCACAGGACCTCCACTGCCCACAGGACCTCCATTGCCCACAGGACCTACACTGCCCACAGGACCTACACTGCCCACAGGACCTCCACTGCCCATAGGTCCTCCACTGCCCACAGGACCTCCACTGCCCACAGGACCTCCACTGCCCACAGCTGAACCTCCACAGGTGAACTGTTGGTCACAGTATACCCACGCCTCACAGAACCCCCATAACACACAGGACTACCATGACCCCACAGGACTGACATTGTCCACAAGACTGCCACTGTCTGATCACCATTCCTCACAAGAGCCCCGACGCCCTGGGGACGCAAAGAAGACCACCACGACAAATGGGCAGAGTTTCTTTCGCCCTGATGCCCCCTGTTACCTTGCAGTATATAGGTACCTAGGAGTTTGACAGCTGTTACGGGCTGCTTCCTGGGTGCGTGTAGGAAAAAATAAAAACAATTAGTTAGTAGTTTGTAACAGTTGATTGATTGACAGTTGAGAGGCGGGCCGAAAGAGCAGAGCTCAACCCCCGCAAGCACATCTAGGTGAAGACGGTTGGATCACCACAAGGATCACTAACCTCACGTCTACCCATCAGACAGACACAACTTTTTATCGTGTTTACAACGCTGCATCAATCAAAGGTAAAAAAATAATAACCCCGCGGTTACAGAGTGTGTGAGGGCGGCTAAAGCGTCAGTAACACAGCGGTTACCTACCACCAATACGCGCCAAAGTGATAACGTCTCGCCACAACACAACGCTAACAAATGCGTTGAGTGTTGCGCGGTTGAGCGAGTGA